AAATAAGTATTTATACTTGTGTACAAGCTGTTTAGATTGCCGAAAAAGCCTGTGTTTTTAGGGTTATTAATGAAGTTTGTGTACTCAGACCAGTAATATTTGGGGTCACAAGTTTTTGCCATGAATATTTTGTGGGTCAGAAGATAAAAAGTTTGAAAACCACTGAGTTAGACTATAGGCCAGTACAGTTCTGCACAGGTTAAAGTACTTTCAGATTGCAAAGAAATGTAAAATTAGATATTTGTTGCCACTTTAAGTCAATCAGTGCATTACTTTTAGTGTAACAGCAACACATTATGGTTAAATTATTATTATTATGTTTGGAAGCTTGAATACATGAATAAACCATTACACAGTCAGAGCTAAGTGAAGTTATTGATTGTGATTTTAATTTTAAGATCTTTCTGTCCTAACCTAAACAGCAGCCTGAACTTACTCCGTTTTATTTTGAAAGGTTTTTGCGACAGAAAATGAATATTTGTATTTTTCCATTAGAATCTTTAGCTTTTATTCTTCACTTTTTATTGATTCAAGTTGTTTTTATCAGTTGTTTTGTGAGCTAAATTGTTTTTTTTTTTTTTGGCCTTTTATCTTTAATTTAAAGATCTGCTGTTGTTGTATCAAACTTGCAGACCTCTCAGGCATTCTGGTTCTGTTCTGCATCCCCAAAACCAGAACCAAACATGGAGAAGATGAGTTCAGCTTCTGTGCATCACAAATCTGAACAAAGTCCCAGAAAAGTGTAAAACAGCTGAAACTCTGAGTTCCTTTAACCAAGAGTGAAAACCCACCTGTTGCTTATGAAACATTAATCAACATTTTGATGTGTAACAATGACACCTGACAAACTGTGTGTATTTTTGTGGTTTTATGATGTAAAGCACTTTGAACTGCCTTGTTGCTTAAATGTGCTACACAAATAAACTTGATTGATTGATTGATTGATTGATTGTCACATTGGTGTATTTTTATTATTGTTACCTTTTATTTAACCAAGATAATCTAATTCAAATCACTGATAATTGTTTTAAGGGTGGCCTGGGCTGAAGGCAGCCTAACATGCATGTTTTTGGTCTTTGGGAGGAAACCCATTCAAACATGAGGAGAAGACTTTACACAGAAAGACCTCAGGTCCAAACCAGGGATCCAGCACAGAACCAGTGAGGAACCAGTGCTAACCACTGATCCTAAACCATTACCAGCAAAGCCAAACGTCAAGCATGAAATGACACGTGGAACAGCCATTTTCATGTCTGAGTTAAAGAAACATCAGAACCAGTTATAGTCTCTGTAATGTCTTACTGGAGTTTTGCTGAATCAAGCTAAGTGAAGAAAGTCCAGCTCTGTTGAACTTGCTTCATAGTACTTTTTACTGCTCAACAACAATCAACACAAATCAACCAACACATGCAAAAAGTAAAGTTAGCAACAGTAACAATGATTCTGCAGTTGTTTAATTTCAGATTCTTCTCCTCCCTACAGTGATACAGAGTTATTTACCTCAGGTGGGGGGTTAAGAATCTGGGTGTCTTGTTCACTAGTGATTGCAGGATGAAGTGGGATATGGAGGGGTACACAGAACAGGGGTACACAGAACAGGGGTACACAGAACAGGGGTACACAGAACAGGGGTACACAGAACAGGGGTACACAGAACGGGGTACACAGAACAGGGGTAGACAGAACAGGGGTACACAGAACGGG